ATATTGAGTCAAAGTTTTTAGCAAGCTATCTGCAATGATTCCATGATCTCGAGTGGAAATGGCTAATTAAGATCCCATCAGTGTGTGTGTGTACAGTTAGAATTATTTTCCCCCATGAGCCTTACTTTGTAATTTTCAAAATTGAATTTCATCTACCACTATACTGTTCACTTACAGAGTTTTCTGAAATCTTTCTATATGACACTAAAATTCTTCGCCAACAAGTTTCAATTTCACTAAACAAAATTATCTTGCATCACATGCAGGTTTTTTTGCCACCTCCCTATTGGGATATCCTCTTCTTGTTCCACCTCCTCTTTGCTGACTTTTCCAGGTCACTTATGAAAATAGGCTGCAGCACAAATCTTTCCGGAAGCCCACTGCTTACCTGCCTCCATTGTGAAAAATGGCCAATTGTCATTTTTTTGTGTGTCTCTTTTTTCAATCCACAAGAGGATCTTTCCTCTGTTCCAATGACAGCTCAGTTTCTTTGAAAATCCAAATACAGTATAATCAACTGGATGTCACTTATCAACATGATTGTGACACCCCCAAGAATTCCAACACATTGGTGAGATGAGATCGCTTTATAAAACTTATGTTGTCTCTTCCTTAGATGAGTCTGCTGTTCCATGGCTGCTGTCACCAGTCTGTTGTTCCATGGCTCACCTCCAGCACCTTTTTAAAGACTGATGTTACATGGGCAACCACTCAATCCTTTGGCAGAAAGGCTGATTTTAGAGAGAGGTTACATACTGTCACTAACATTTCTGCAATTTTGTATTTGAGTCACTTCTGATCTTGAGAAAATACCACCTGTTACTTCTCACTGTACAATTTATGAATATCTTCTAATATCTCATTTATTATCATCTCAGTTTGAGCCAGTCCTTTATATTTATCTCATAAAAACAATTTATCTGATGTGGGAATCTCCTCAACATCATCTTATACAAAATATTCATTTAGTGTCACTGCTGCTGTCTTATCTACCCTGAATCCACCTTTGCACCCTGGTCATCTAAGGGCCCCACCAACTCTCTGGCAGGCTTCCCAGTTCTGATGTACTCTATATATATAAAAATAGAAAAGATGTGTATATATAAAGACATATTATGACCTTTTAGGTCTCTGGCAAACAGTCTTCAAATTTTTTTGGCTGTCCTTATCATGCTTTTACACTTAGGTTGCCGGGGTTTCTGCAATTTTCTATTTTCCTCAGCTTGAGTTATAGATCTCATTATGGTAGGCACTGTACAAACACTGAGCTTCATATACAAGAAGTTAAACAATGGGTGCTACCACTATACAAGATGATATTTGTTTTACCAAAGAACTCCAGAAACAAACAAAAAAGAAAAACTCTAGTTGCAGACAAAAAAATTGTGAAAAATTTATAATAATCTCAGTAAAGACTGTATTTGGGTTTTTTTCATTGAAATCTCCATGCCAGTTTTAACTACTTGTGTTCTAAATACTACATAGAATAAGGAGTAAATCTGGAATCAGCACAGATTGCTGCATTATTCTGCATAAATCAGACTTCCAGGGTCTTAACTGAATGTCTAGAATGTCTTCAAATATGCCTTCAAAATCTGCTAAAACAGACTACAGCTATAAATGAACTCCTAAGAGTGCCAGTGAAAATTAATATGGATCATGCAATAAAATAAAAAACAGCAGAGTCAGAAAGACTGAAAACTTTCCATTTTCCTGTGGGTTCAAGAATAGAAATAATCAGGTTGAACATTTCACCCTGAATACACAAGATAATTTCCTGGCAATAGAGCATATAGAGCAACAAACTGTTTTTGAGGTTGATTAAAGACATATTGCTTATTGTATCACAAACACAATTTTTTAGTCTACTGAGTGCATCAATGTGCTACTGATAATTTAAATCTGAGTGTTAGGAATAAAAGGGAAACCTTATTTGCAAAAATAATCTTCCTCGGACAGTACTTAAGAACATTTCCATGTTTCTGCTAAATCATAGGTAAACAACTGCAATAGGAAAGATAAGATAAATAGCTAATCTGATAGTTTCTTGAAATATAGAGTATATATCTGCTTTCTCTTCCTCTTAAACAAGAATTTTCATAGCAATCGTGTAATATTGTGTTTAGGTGATTAATCCTGCAGCAGCATTTTACAAATATAGCTGACACAAGCTCTATAGGCAGGGGACAAAAAAGTGACATCTATAATATCTCTCTCAACATGCTGGTTTCAGCATCATGTACTTGGTAATATTCTTAGCTCCTCTTGCTAATGGCCGAAATTATTTTCTTTATTCTGCTGATAACCCCATAACTATAGTTCATAAAGGACAACTGCTGAAGAAAGTACTCCCTATATTTTATCAGAGTGAACTTAGGAGGAGATTGGCACGAAAGAAATGGAAATCTTACATTTTTTCACAATGTAGGGACACAGTGGGCAGTAACTTTGGACAATCCCTACTTACAAAGTATGCATTTCAACTCTAAAAAGTTGTGTTTTTTTATTTTATGTCTATACTTTCCTTAGTTAACCCTCCTTCTGACAATTTTAACCAGAGCTTTAATTTGGATTGCTCATTTCTTAGACCAGTTTCTAAAAGAGAGGCCTACCAATTAATTTCCAATAAAAGCAGCTGAGTGTCAGATAACAGCAGTGACTGTGTTTCTGCTATTGATTTAGATAAGGAGTGAAAGTTTTTATGCTTCACTACCAATTTCCTGACTGTCCCATATCCATCAGGATTTTCTTTATAAAACTATTATTTTTCTAGACTTCTTCATTGTACAAGTTTTGCTTTTTCTCATTTCATCTTCTACTATGTAATTAATGGACTCTAAAAATCAAATGCATATAGGGCCAGGAAAGCATACTGCCTCTAAAGCAAAGGCTGTTCTTCTAAAATATAGGGAATAAGAGGAGCCTTACTGTAATGGCTGTGTACAGCAAACAGCAATCAGAGTAAAAAACTAAGTTTTCAGCCCTGTTATTGGGCATACTGATTATCCTACAAGAAAGCAGCTACTAATTATGGCACTGGGGACAGGCTACATATCTTAAGGGAAAGAAATGCATCATCAATAGAGATTGGTGAAATGTTTTTAGCAAATATGTGAAGTTCAGTATCAGAGGGCTTATCTGTAGCACAGTAATCAGGTCATTCTTAGGTGCTTCCAAACCACTGCATACTCCAAACTCAGAAATACAGCAGGGAGATACTCAGGTTTTAAACTACAATAACAATATTCTATTTTGCCCTAGTCATTAAGATATTTCTCCTCTGTCATAGAATTAGCACAAATTTCTGCAGCAGTGGCAAAGTAGCATTTTCTCATGCTGTGACAGATGTTCCTTGTAGGCCCTGAAAGATACTCAACAAAGCTGTCTGTCAGGGAAATATATATACACACACCCCAGCCTGAAATGACTTATTTTTTCCCTTCATTTTTCAATAACTTTCAAATTCATTTTAGCTATGTCAGGTTGGACCACTGAATGATGGTGAACCCTAATTCACTAGTCACTTTTCAAAATACAAGCCATCTTTCTTTACATGCTTTGGAATATCTAGACAGGTTTTTAAAGAGGAGAGAAGAAGCCCATAGCAAAGATTTATGGAGCTCTCTTCTTCAGGCAATATCACTAAACATTCTATGAATGCAAAAGATGTTCTTTCCTACATTTTGCCCTCCATAAGGTGGCTGAGGATTTATATCATTTCCTCATAAAAAAAAATTCTACATTTTTGTGGGGAGGGTACTATTCGCAAAGCATGAACCACTTTAAACCATCACTTCCTCAGATTAAAGTCCCCCCTTACCAGACAGAGAAGAAGAAATAATTGAAGCGAGGCAAGAAGAAAAGGAGCACAGGTATATACATTTTTAAATAGGGATACATGTCTAATCAATACATTCCTCAACACACTTCTTTTGAGCAAGAATAAATTAAATCATCATGGAGGATTTTGTTCCTAAATTAGGTAAACAAGGTAAGGGTAATTAATGAAAAAATGGGTTAATTTACAGCTTGGTACCTAAAAGAAAATATTTAGCAGCAGATATTTGTGCTGTGGTGATTTTTAACTGTTATTTTATATATAAAGCCCCCTTCTGCAAATGCATTCTTGGAGCTGAACAATCAGTATTTCCATAATTTGTTCCCCATGGTATGTTAAAATACAATCTCTTTTGTGTTTAGGTTTTATATGCATACACGTTTTGTAGAATTCATCCAGCTGTCCAATGCTTATTTGACATTTTTAGTGCAAATGCAATACAAGTCTATTTATGTAGAATCACAATGATCTTGCATGGGTAGGGCAATAGATAAAATGACCAAATGTGTCAAATTCTATGTCTCATTTCCAAGACTGGGTCCATCAATAGATACAACTCTACAAATATTTAAACATAGTAACTGTATTACTCTTAGATACACGAATAAAAAGCAAGTGACAAGAGGTTTTTTAGTCGTGAAATTTTTAAATACCTCATCTTCTGCCTGATTTAGCCCCCTTTTTAGGTCTTCCACACGAATTCTCAGCTGCTTAACTTCAGCCTCATGTTGTTCGACTATCTTGTTTGTATGCATCAGTTCTGCCACTTTATCTTGATACTGCTTGTTTAGCTTGTTGTGAGCATGCTGCAGATCAAGGATCTCCTTTTAAAGAGGGAAAAAAGGCAGTTAAACACTGTATCATGTCTACAGCTATACCAGCAATTCCCCTGTACTGTGAACCAGCAAAAGCCATTTTTTATCAGTCTAACTGTGTCTAAACTAGGTAATTTGCAAACATAATGAGGCCAAAGAAACATCTACCACTATGCCAATTTTACTATAATAGCAAAAGTTACTAGTGTATACCAGGCATAAGACACATTCAGGAGCTGTTGTACATTAAAAAAAACCCCAAACCCTCCTAAATGAAGCTTTCTATAGGGATGACCACTACCAGACTCTCATATCAAAAGACCAGTGTGTTCCACTTATTTTTAGTCACACAGGCAGAATATTGTATTTCTATAATTTAAAATCAGTAAAATTTAAAATGCAGGGACCTATTCAGAACATCTTACAAAAAATGTAGTTGCAGATCTAAGCTGTTGTAAAGTGTTGAAACTGTATAAAATTATAACCAGTAGAATATCTGTCCCAAGGCATTTTATCACAGTATTGTGGCCATGTCATCCTACTACTAAAGAAGAAAAAGTCCCTTCAGTGGCATAGTGCATATTATACTGTAGCCATAAAAAATGTCAGGGGTATTTGTGTCTGAGAAATAGTGCTCTGAAAATTAAGAGATATTTTACCACAAAACACAGTTGTTGTTACAGGTAATCAAGAGAAGATTCCAAATGACCAAAATCCTTGTGGTGACCATTTCAAGGCAGAGGAAACAAATATTACAATAAATATGAATCAGTTTCTGGAACAATGGAATAATAATAGCAACAACAACAACAACAATAATATACTGCACATAACTGTTTTCTCTTGCCAACTTTTATATAAGTACATTATGTACTTTCATGATTCATTAACCCCTCTCGTTTGTGCTAAGGGAGTGATTGTTTGGCCATAAATCTGGAACATGTACAAAGCAAGATGAGAGTGAAGTGAAAAAAAAAGTGTTACCTTGGAAAGAAACAATATGCATATGAGAGTTAGTTCCCTAGCAAATGTTATTTCCATTAAGCAACAGGTAATGTTGTTGATAGAAACTGTCAGGCCATGTGACCTGCTTCACATTCAGAGGGCAAGCTCTCCAGAGTGGAACATAGGGCCCTGGGAACTTGCTCTGCCAGCACTTGCCAGCAAAGGGAGCTGGAGAGCTGCTGGCAGGGGCTATCAGCCCCCCTTCCACACCTTCATCTGTGCTGCTAAATGAGAAATGATTTCTGAGCTCCCCTGGGAGAAGCTGCTTCCCTGACCCTAGCACATGGCAGGGGAGACCTGTGCAAATGGGCAGGAAGAGAAAGGAGTGGCAGGGCTTGTACTCTCCTGGACCACCTTATGAGGTGCTTTGGTGTATATGCTTTAGCTCTCCCCATCTTGTCCCCACCAGCAGATTTCCAAATAAATCCCCTCCCTTCCTCTGAGATTATTATTATGTGTATGTTAATCCTGTTGTGTTGTGTGTCTGTTTACACTTTGCTTCTCAGAGGGGAGAAGTACTAATCTCTCTTCAATGAAGCAGGTTTGAAGGGTGGTTGATGAAAGGGAAGAGAGTGAATCATGACTTCGTCTGCAGAGGCACCCTGTGGCAACAGAGTTCAGCATGAGCCACAGAGTTACCTTGCAGGAAGGGGAGTGAGGGGACAAAGAAGTCTAACCTGGGATGCTGGAGGACCGTATACTATTACCCTACATGTAGCATGTCACATATTCAAATTAATGTGCAGCACAAATGAGCTGCAAAGATATTCTATGTTTTACAAGTAACACCTTTGTGGCTGGATGGCCATCTCTGTGGCTTGCTATCAAGTGGTAAATTGCTTAAATGTGTGGCATGTTACAATGTATTGCTCTATTAAAAGATTAATTGCATTTCAAATGTAACATCTATCAGGAACCTTTCTTTGCTTAAATAAAAACTTTGCTTATGAACAACTTATCATGAATTTGTTCTCTCTCTGGCTCCATCTCTCTCTCTCCATTGCACTAAAGTCAGTTTAAACACAAACAGAGCCTCTTTTCTGAATACATCAAACATGAGCACACTTCAAGCTAATGCAAGACGACTGATATTGTAGTTAAGCGTTGTGTCTTTTATTTGGAAAACTTAGTAGATGTTAGATAGCCATCATTAAAAAATGATAATATTTTCTTTGTTGCCTAATTAGGCCATCTCATTTCCCTTTCTGAATCCTTCCATTTTATGGATCTTAAAGTGGTGCAATTTTCTTTCTACAGTGCTGGAAAGCAGGGGAAATTTAATCTATCCCCATTCAGACTTACTGTGGTGCCAGAGATGAAAAGAAATCTCCCTTTCATGTACATGAATCCTCCAAGTCTTACAGCGGTTCTTTTAAGATCTGTTACCTTGTGTTCCCTCTCACGAAATTCCTTTGCTAAAACTGGTGAATAACATTACTTTTTAAAGCTCAGCTAATGAGTCTGTTCTTATGACATAAATGTTACGGTCCATTCTCAGGAGTCCTGAGTTGCATGTACCATAACCTGCTGTCCCTAGCTGATACTTTAAAAAGTTGCCTTCACCTTTATCTCAGATATCTGAAAGCACAGATTTCCAACTTGCGTACAGATGGAACTGGAAGCCATCCAAAGGCTGGTGTGTGTACAAAATGCCAAATAGCAAATGACAAGAATCCAGCATAAGAAGTTAATTATCAACTAAATGTTCTTGTTGGAAATTTTGTTCACTTCACTTCTTCCAATAAATCCTTGAATGTAAAGAGAGACAGTAAAAATAAGATTGTGTCCTAAGAAGTCTTTTTCTTTCCATTCCCCATATATATAAACGGATGTATAAACTAATTTTCCCTAACCAAAATTAGATTACACAGGGACCAGCTTGTAGGATACTGTTTATAGCAATTTAAAACAATCTATTCTATTCTGTAGACCACACAAAATGGCTTGAGAATGCTGACCAGCTGAGATTGCTTGCTTCTGTTTTTGCACGTAAACCATAGATATATTTTTATTAGATTTTTATGAACTGCAGAGTGACAACATGTATTTGAAGACCTAAAAACCATTTCCAGAGAGCCATCAATTCCCAGAGTAGTTGAAAATAGTATTTTTCTTATTGGGGTTCTTTTCCAATTTGGCAATACAGCCAAATTTAGATACTTATGCATTCCCCTGATGCCTATAGATTCATAGATTCATAGATGTTAGGGTCAGAAGGGACCTCAATAGATCATCGAGTCCGACCCCCTGCATAAGCAGGAAAGAGTAGAAGTTCTTCCTAATGTCCAGTTTAAATCTGCTCTCTGCTAGCTTGTGGCCATTATTTCTTGTAACCCCGGGGGGCGTCTTGGTGAATAAAACCTCACCAATTCCCTTCTGTGCCCCTGTGATGAATTTTTAGGCAGCCACAAGGTCGCCTCTCAACCTTCTCTTGCGGAGGCTGAAGAGGTCCAGGTTCTCTAGTCTCTCCTCGTAGGGCTTGGCCTGCAAGCCCTTAACCATACGAGTGGCCTTTCTCTGGACCCTCTCTAGGTTATCCGCATCCCTCTTGAAGTTGGTGCCCAGAATTGCACACAGTACTCCAACTGTGGTCTGACCAGCGCCCAATAGAGGGGAAGTATCACCTCTTTGGATCTATTCGTCATGTATCTGCTGATGTATGATAAAGTGCCATTGGCTTTTCTGATGGCTTCGTCACACTGCCGACTCATGTTCATCTTGGAGTCCACTAGGACTCCAAGATCCCTTTCCACTTCTGTGCCACCCAGCAGGTCATTTCCTAGGCAGTAAGTGTGCTGGACATTTTTCCTCCCTAGGTGCAGCACTTTGCATTTCTCCTTGTTGAACTGCATTCTGTTGTTTTCTGCCCACTTGTCCAACCTATCCAGGTCTACTTGCAGCTGTTCCCTGTCCTCTGGCTAATGCATGCTGTCCACCGAGCACAAAGTAAAAATGTGGTGTTGTAGAGGCTAAGGGGAAAGACATTTCATTGACAGCTATCTTATTTTCCCTGTAAGAAAAAGGATGGGGAGCAAGGGTTGAGAAATGGCCGGGAGTAGAATTGTACTGTGTATCTTCACAGAATTGCTCTGAAAATCCACAGGTGTAAGGTAACTCCACTCCATTCCTCCATGATATGCTGCCAAAGGGAGAGGAAGAGGAAAGCAACAAATAAAATTGGCCTAAACTTCCATCCATAATTATTCCAAAGTACATGTTAATTTCTGAAGTATGATGCTAGATGCAAAGGGCTTCTCCAAAGTAGATTGTGTAGCATAAGGAACACACAGGAGGTCTAAAAATGACATGACCCATATCATTGTTGTCTTCTTCCACATTGATTGCAGAAGGAACAGAAGAAACTAAGGGTATAAATAGATATCAACAAAAGAAGCAGATTGGGTTGTTTTTAGATATGTCCCAGCACAGCTGGTTCATTTCAAAGCACATATGGCCCACTATCCTGCCCAGTGATCATGCAGGACAACAAGCAACATGTTCCCTATGTTCAGGGTGCATCTCTGTAAACTGGGAAAGCTGGGGTTCCATGCATACAGAGACTTGCCCTGAAGATTCATGTAGGCATGTCTGTAAGCGGGGAATGCTGAGCAAATGCTTCCAGGGTTCGAGAGCCCTGATCCTCTATAAGAATTCTCAGGGTGCACAGGCCCAGGTGATATCTGTTTCCTACTTATAAGAGCTTAGCTTCCATTAAAGCTTGGCAGACCCAGGGCATGATTTTACCCAGGAAATCAACCTATCTGGCTTCACATTGATAAGAAGTATAATAAAAGATCACAGAACTTTTTACTTTCATCAGAAATCACAGAATTCAAAGAACCATGGGAACTTGATTACATAAAGAGAGGAACATTAAACACAGAATTTAAGCCTACCTTTTCAGTCACAACAATATCCTGGAATTAAGATGGAGATGGCCTGGATATCTAAAGTACCAGCAGAATGGGGGCGGTGGGGGCGGAAAGCAGCCTGCCTAGTTAATT